TTTAAGTCCATTCCTTACTATCTACTCACACACCTGTCTCCCTTTATCTCACTGTTAGGCTCTTTCCTACTTTTAACAAATTTGCATGTCAGTTTCTGTCATGTTTATTTATTGGATTCTCAGCTGCCTAATCTGTACATACATGATCCTTCGGGTTTTGTTTACAAGGAATCTTGACTGACCAAAAGGCATTATAACTCTGCCTCAGATACAAGGTACAGAGGATTTGCATCTTTGAGGAAACGCCTACTTCAGTTCTTTTGTTCTGAGGATGAAAACCTTGTGAGAGGGGATGAGAGAGGCATAAAAGTTCTAGAAAAATGTACTTTTAAGATGTTACAGATCCAAAGATATAGAGTGGTGTGTCAGGAGACTAAAGGAAGGCAAAGTCTATACTGTCAATGTGTCATTGGGTGTTTCCTTTAAGCTAGTCAGCTGTACCTTTTAAATTAGTTCTTTTTCAACCAATGTGTCACTAAAAATTCTATCAAAGCTTTATCAGTTCAAGTTTCTTGCTTTTCATAATACTTTTTTCTGATGCAATTTTATATTTTCAAACATGGCAAGTTAAATATAAATTCATTTAAATATATAGTTTTGTACTTTTTCTACCATGTAAATGTGCAATGTATATAAAAGTTATAATGTGTATTTGTAAATAAATGATGAGTGAAAAAATAAAAAAATTTTAAAAAGCCAATGGTCTCAGATCCTGTTCATAAAAAGGAAGTTATTTTGCTTTTGATATGTTTGTTGAGGGATCAAGTGACCACTGAAATTAGTGGCCAGGAAACAGATGCTCCAAATGAGAGATGGCTCACAGTTAAGAACACTTGCTGATCTTCAGAGGACCACAACTGGGCTCACAACCCCCTGAAATTCCAGCCTCAGGGGAAATGATGCCCTCTTCTGGCCTCTATGGGCACCTAAACTCATGTGCACATACTCCACACAGATACACACATGCACATACACTTTTTTAAATAAATCTTTAAAAAATATGAATCACTTCAATGGAGTTTGAAAAATAAAGGAATCTGAGGTTCAGCAACCCTTTTACTGGACAGGTACGTGTCAAGAAGCAGCAAACTAATGTAGATTCCTTCCTGAAACACATCAAGTCTAAATGTCCCTATAAACACCTATTACTAGTCTTGTCTGTCTTGCCACAACTAGGGCCTGCTGGAGCCTGATTTCTTCATCTAAATAGAGTATGTCTCCTATATTTCAAAACAAACACATCACAAGGAAAAGCGGAAAGAGACCACTGAATATTTGGCAAGCACAGGCAAGAAGCCAATATCAAGTTCAGGACTGGGCAGGATAGTGTTAGAAGTTTGGTGAGATAAAGTTGAGCCTGGAGGTGGTTTCCACCAGGGTGTCCATAGTTCACAGGGACTGAATAATGACACCTGAGATAGGAGAAAGTCTTTCAGTGTTCTGTATTTTATGATATATTAGTACCGTCTCAGAATGGTGTTTTAGACATAATCAGTGGTCCCTGTAGTGCACAGAAATACATAAATGGCTCACCAGCACAAGTTTCCAACTCATGGGTCCTTGATACGCAAAACCTAAACATCTTAAAAATATCAATGAAATGCAAGGTGAAAAGGGAGGGAAAAAACTAAGAGGAAAGAGCAAAAAAGAGTTGATATTACCAATACTATGCAAATGTGTTCTTTTCAAAGACCAAGATCCAAGTTCTTCAAAGTTTATTATCCCTTTTTAGGATGAATAATTATTCAATTACTGGTCAAGACCATAGGCTCTCAGAGGCTCACCAAATGAGAAATGAGCTGGAAGCAGAGTTTATTTAATGATTAGGAGTCTGGAGTATTGTTCCCTATATTATCAAGAAAAGGGGGAAAAGGGTACAGAAAACTAACCAACTGCCATTAACTACAGGAAGAAAAGAGCCATAACTTCTCTAGGGCAGATGAGCCGGCTTCTGCAAAGAAGAGTCTCTCAGGGAAAGAAAGAGGACCAACCAGATGCAGTGCCAGGTGCAGTTTCACAGCCCTTCCTAGAGTGGGTCTGTGGCTTCATCCTGGGATGCTGCGCATGCTTTAAAGCTGCCATTGACAATCGGTGAAAACACCAAACATAACAGGCACCAGTGTAGTTTGTCTTGACAAGCTAGAGTGATAAAATCAACAACTTGTCTTTTAAACAACATTCAGATTATATATTTAAATTTTTTTTCTATATTTGTCCACATCAGTCATTCCTCTTAAATACAAGTATCTTCTTTGAGTTTCATACTTTCCCACTAATCTTGGTTGGGTCAAGAAAGAAATCACTGGGAAGCCCTCATGGCTGAGCTAGGTTTCTAGCACTAGACATTTCCTTTTAAGTTAAATATTTAAAAAAAAAAATACTAGTATCATTGGATTATTATAATTTCAACCGTAATTCAAAAAGATCTAATTTGGTCCTGTGCACAATGGTATTAATAAAAACAGTTACTAGTAATTAATTTTAATTTAATTAGTATAACTATATTCTAATCCTTAAGAATTGGAAAACATAAAGTGATAATGAAAATGAAAAATCCATCAAAAACCTAATTTTTATCCGATGTGTACCTAAATTTAGGTTTTTGTATACTAAATGGGATATGGTTTCTCAAGTGTGACGAAAATAAAATCTAGTTTAATTTTAGTCATCTTCAAGCAAGACAACTAAATGCAGCACTGGCAAGCATGCACTGAGCAGGAAGGGCTGGAAAATCTCTGGACTAATCAGAGAGAAGTGGTGTGTCCATGTTACAGCTGCTGAAACAAACTACTGTGCTGAAATTATGCAAAAGAATAGGCCTTCCAACAGTCAAGAAATGCCTACAGAAGCACTTAGAAGAGCAGAATATACATAAAATCTTTAAATGGCTTTAAAAGTATTATAGGTTTCATCAAATTACTTATGTGTAGTATATGCAAAGACAGTACAAAAATGATCAAGGGGGTAAGTTAGCAATAAGTAAATCTGAGTAAAAGAGCTATGGGGACTTTTAGTACTATAGTTTTTGGTAAATTTCCCCTATGTTTAAAAATATATACCCAAATAAAAAGTTAAAAATCTTTCAATATTATTCCCAGGAAGGAAAAGTACACAGCAGACAACTACTCATTCTCTAAGGATGCAAGTAAAACACAAAGTCATTAAAAAAAAAAAAAAAAAAATTACCTGGAGGCCAATGAGATAGCCAAGCCTGATGACCTGAGTTCAATCCCTGAGATATACATGGTGGAAGTAAAGAACCAACTCCCAAAAGTTGTCCTCTGATTACCTCACGCAGGGCACTCTGTGGCTAGTGAGTGGCCACACACATAAATATACACAGAGAATAAACTAATTAACAGGTTTTTAAAAATTATGTGGTATGACCCAAAAAAAGCCTGGAAAATACTTTAACTTGTAACTTTGGCAAGTTGATTTAAAGAATCAAAATTGGCAATAAGAAAATTCCTCAAAACTGAACAGTGCCCAAACTGAGAAACAGCCTTTTCTGAATCATCTTGAACTATCAAGTAAAACACTCCAAACACCCAACATTTCCATCCTCCCTACTATTTGTTATACATATTGAACAAGTTACTTAACCTCTCTGGGTCTCAGTTTTTTTAATCTCTGAAATCAAGATAATGAAAATAACCACCTCACAACAATCTATAAGAATTAAAAGACATAAGGTGTATAAAATGTTTATTTCAATGACTGGGACATAAAACACTCGGTAAATAAGTGTCTTCCTGTAGCATAATAATTATTAGCTAAAGGAAAAAAAAGTGATATTGTGGTCCATCACCCAATAATAATAATGTAATAATAATGGAGGAGGAGGAAGAGGAGGAGAAAAAGGAGAAATAATTATTATTATTAAGACCAGAAGCATAAGTGGTTTTTAAAAGGGAGGGTAAATATAATTTTAAAGTATTTTATCCACATTAATGTTTAACAAAAATACACAGCATTCTAAGCATGATAGCAAAAGTATACTATTAAAAAAATAAGTATATATTATTATTTCCCATTAAAATTTAGGGGGAAAAAAAATCACCTATCAACTTTTCCAAAACTAAAAAATGTGCCCTGTATTGTCT